TTATTTAGTTTAACTTGATGTACTAAAATAACTAAAACTGAAATAAAAATGAAGAAATAAATAGAATATAGTATTTAAAAATAATTTTAAAATGACTAAAACTTTCATTAAAATTGAAATAAAAACTGAAAATATGAAAATGAAAATAAGATATGAATAAAAACTGTAATAGGATCTGAACTAAAATAACACTGCTATTGCAGAATTCCCTGACTAATCTTACTATTCTCATTAGTGCTGTTTTCTAGCATCACTATTACTAGTGCACATACAGTACTTGTGCTCAGGAAATATTCAACTAAACCGCTCAAAAATGCATATACAGATATGAATAATACTTCAAATTAGGGATGCTCCGATCAGGATTTTTGCAGCCAATAATGAGTACCGATTTCTTGTCATGGTGATCGGCCGATACCGATGCCGATTCTGATGCTTCAAGTTTTATATAGACGGTTTCATCGGGCGCACACGCCTGGCCCGAAGTTAACTTCCGGTCTGTGTTTGTTTATCAGTCTGGCTATGGCGCTGGCTACACAAGAGTTAAAGTTAAGGTGATGAGTAGACTGAAGTTGGGCTCAGGTGGTTGTGCTGTGGGATGTGTTTCCCATACATTTATTTATTTGTGGCGCTCGCCACAATATCAAAACTGACCGATTTTCCAATGGGCTTTGTTGAATAAACATGAGCACGTACTGCACGTTTAAAAATCATAATGAGGTGCGGGGGTTTTTCTATCACTGTATTTCTGAAGGAAGACTATCTTTAGAAAATGTTCTCTGTCATTTTCATTTCATCTTGCATGTTATATGCCTGATAAAGCAGCGTTTGTGAGCTCACCGCTGCTTTGTGTACAGCGGTTACTGGGGAAACCTCTGTTTTTGTTTTGTCCTCCACGCTGTGACAACTCACGAGTCATAAAATATGATTATCGGCCGATACCGATCTCCGGCCGATCGATCGGAGCATCCCTACTTCAAATCAAGCTGCATGTTGAGACCCAATCCTAAAGCCGTGCTAAAGACCACCCAGAACACTCTTTAAACTCCATAACCACAACACCCATCATTTCTTTAGAAAATATGTAAACCTGTTTCAATAATTTGTCATTTGATGATAGTTTCATGATCACCGGGTTTGAGCTTACAACCTTCTGGTTTCTTAAACTACGAGGCGACACCACATGTGAAAAGTTTGAAGATCCAGCACCAAGATGAGCGTGAGGCATTTATCAGCTATTTGCATTTTGGATTTTACTTGCTTCAAGTTAACCAGCAGATGTTTCCTGATAAAAAGGGAAGTTAATATTTAACTCTCTCTTGAGAATCTGTTGCATCAGTTAACCCGAAATGTCTCTTTCTAAACGATCAGCATAAATAAAAAGCACTGCAATTCCAGTTGCAGTTGATTGTTATGCCTATTCCCTTGATTTAGTATTATTCACTCAGACATTCAAATATCAATATCCAGCATCACACCTTCACAGGTAGCACTAATAAAGGCCTTCATTTGAATGTCTTTTCTGGAGGCACTGAAGGAGAGTTCCTGGGTGTGTGTTTTTAGAGACGATCATACTTTAGCACACTAGTCTGTAGGATTCGCACAACTAACCTGAACTTTCGTTGTTCTTGTAGTTGATAATCTAATAGGCTTCCCCCATAAATCTGCCTGTTGACATTTGTGATATCAGATGTGATTAATGCTTCACTCCTCTTTAATGAAGCACTCGCTGTACATCTCCAGCTTTCTTGACAGTAAAGGCATAGGCATCGATAACACAGCGAACACCAATGGGACTGGTGAGCATTGTTTGCGTTCTGATGTGATCCTGCTTTTAAAATCTATTTTCATGATATCTTTTAAACAGCTTTGTTTTCTTTCAGCGTAACTCTCATCCGAAGCTGTACCCCGGAGATATTCTTGAGTTTCCTGGCAACAGTTACTTTTCTCATTTTGGCGTTTACTATGGAGAAAGAGACGGAGTTCCTTATGTGGCCCATCTGACCATCAGAGGTGAGTCTGTGTCATCTTTGAAAAGAATTAGCCATTTAAAAAAAATGAGAATTTTAGCATTCCATCACTTGCTCACGAATGAATGCTCTGCAGTGAATGGGTGCCGTCAGAACGAGAGTCCAAACAGCTGATAAAAACATCACTATAATCCACAAGTAATCCACACTACTTCAGTACACATCAGTTAACATCAAGTGAAGGGAAATGCTATGCGTTTTTAAGAAAAAAATCCATCATTAGGACGTTAACTTTAAACCGTCAACTGAGTCAATAAGCCATAATAATGCTTCCAGTGAAAAAGTCAATCTCCTGTTGTCTCTCACATTAAAAACCAACAACATATTTGTTTAGAGTTGCTTTGGACTGGTTTTGATTATAAATGCTGCTTGATCTGTGCAGATTTCTCTCCTGATTCAGACAACTCTTTCACTGGAGAAAGAAATATAATGAATAGAGGGCATTATATTTTAGCCAGAAGCAACAGTTTAAAATTAAAAAATAATCTTCATGATGGATTTGTTTCTTACAAACAAACAGCTTTTCTCTTCACAAGACATTAAGTGATGGACTGGAGTGGTGTGGATTACTTGTGGATTATTGTGATGTTTTTATCAGCTGTTTGGACTCTCATTCTGACGGCACCCATTCACTGCAGAGGTACATTTCTCCAAATCTGTTCCCATGAAGAAAAAAACTCATTTACATCTTGGATTACCTGAGGGTGAGGACGTTTTTAGCAAATGAAATCTTATGACTGTTCTCATAACATCTCTTTTCAAGATTCAGACACCAAACTCCTCCTTTTCGGCCGAGCTATAAACGCCGCCGTAAAGCTAGACCCGCTTGACGTAGTCGGGAAGAAATACAAGGTAAGAAACTACCTGGATGACAAGCATCCACCACGAGATTTCTACGTTCTCATCCAGCCGGAGATCGATGAAATCATGACGAAACCCATCACCTTTGACATCCTGTTCAACAACAGCGAACATCAGGCCACAATGTTACGATACGGGGTTAAAAAGTCAGAGCAGGTAAAACATTTGACATTATGACACTAACCTGTCTAATTTGAATGAAAGTGTCAATATTAGCCTCTCATTTAAAAATTCTAGAAAACATTGGTAGACAAGACCTTTTCAGTAACTTTTTTTGAAAACTGTTTCCAGATTGAAAAAGTCTATTCCAAGATAGTTCCCACCTGGAAAGATTTATTTGAGAAGAAAAAGATTTGAGAGCTACATCTTCTGCATGAAGACGCAAGACTTCAAGATCATACAAAAACGATTTCTTTCTTAAATAATTCCTATTGAAAAGATCATGTGTCAAATATACATGCATAACTTTTTGTACAACGTTATTTGATGTTAAATGCAATCAAAACAAGCTACATAATCTTTATTTTTGTGAATGCATTTGGTATCTGAATATTGGATATTTTCGGTATGTCTATGTGTCCAGAAGGAGGCGACAAAGAGTTAAAGTTTGCATTGGATTTAGAATAAAGAAGGTAAACAGCAGGAACGATTGTCAACCAATTTATCTACATTAGCAAAATCTTCCACAAAAAATTTACTTTTTTTTTTTTTTTTTTAAGTTTTATAGTTGGAAGGAAAAATAGCTATGCTATATTGTGCATTTCTCATTCATAGCTAATATAGGCTATATACTATTGAGGAAATTCTCTGGGCTTTTAGATTAATATAAATTTGATATATAATCTACAGATTTTCATGTGCCATGATTCAATGCCAACTAACATTTTGTAAAACTAAGAGTGTTTATTAAAATGGCTTCAACCAAACTTACGAGTCATTTCTGATCAATGTATTATAAAAAAAAAAAAAAAAAGAATAAAAAAATGCATTCATTCTTTCCACTTAAAGCTTACCTAAGATATTAACACAATAAACACAATGTGACACCAGTAGAGGGCGTATAATCATCACCACAAAGACAAATCGACGGTGGATGCAAAATAGAGTATTTCGGTAGCTTACTGTTTTTGGATGATCTTAGTGTTCGCTGTGGCATGACGGAAAAGGATGCAGATGTAGGTGTGAGAGGAACAGTTCCCCAAACATAAATAAATAGCAGCAGAAAGGGAAGCTCCCCCCTCTTATGCTGTAACTTAGGTGCACTCGATAATGTACAAAAATAATCTTCCGCTATTTATTACAACCAGTTTTAATGTGTAATAATGGGAAAACTGTTCAGATGCGTTTACATACACATTCAGCGTAGCACGATATTTAATTTCTGACAGGAATGAAAACGAGGCTATGATGGACTGATGTTCAGTGAACTACACCAGGGGCGGGTCTACCCAGAATTATCACAGAATAAAATATAAATGTAAGCAGCGTTTCATGTGCTACTTTTCAGCCGTGGCGATGACAGAGTAACGCAAAATAATGGCAAAAACACGCCTTTTAATAAACTGCATGATGGTTGCACGCGCACGCAGTGTAGTTCAATAGTAGTCGGCTTCATTAACAAATGACTCTTATGAACCGGATCTTTTTGAGTCAAAACCACAAGACGTGGCCCAGTTCACTAATGAATTGTTTTTACATTTGTTCGTGAATCAGATAATTACTGCTTTTCAGGTAACTCAGAAGTCCTCTGAGAAATCTAATCCCGTCCGGATATGTCTGAGATTCATCGAGTAACTGTTTGGTGATCCGATTCTCCGACCCGAGCTCCACTTTCATCATGAATATAAGCCGTGACAATAACATGAAATCAAAAAGAAGATGCCGATCACGGAAACTAATAGCAGAGTTAGGTAAGAATCTAGTCGCCCCAAACCATTAATTCAGTTTTCAAAACAGACACATTTCTCAAAACGTTTAACAATGAGTAAGTTAAACATTAGGTAGCAAAACTGATGATACACCAATCAGAATCTCTGCATGCTAACAACGAAGAGAGTACCAGTACATTAGATAATGGAAATTTAACTATTCTGTATGTACAGTAAACTGTAGCACATGTAGAACTGTTGTACACCTTCAAGCGCTTGACTGTCAAATTTTATTTGTAACCGTTTTTGCAGAACTGAGAAATGACTGCCTAGAGATCTAGCTAGTCTTGTGTCAGGAGACCAAGAAACTGCTATAGTGCTGTAATGAAATTTTGCCAAAAGTGCAGATGATGCTAAATTTACTGTTTTTAATTGTATTTTTTACTGTACTGTATTGTGGTGCATCCCAAGTTCATACAATTCTTTGGTATTTGAACTTTTCTAGTGCTTTTCATCTACTGGACAATTACCTTACAGTAGTAAAATGAAAAAGAAAAAAAAAATTCCCAAAAGTTAATTGCTAAATTATACATCTTTATCTGTAATTTAATGTATGTATACTGTTATAGACATTGAGCTGCAAAAATAATTCCTGAATCCTGTTCCAGTGTTATTGATGTTTCAACTAGTTACACACAAAATCTTTACTTGTCACACAATTTCTGAAACCTGACACTCAAACACCAGAATCACACACCAAATCTGCAAAACCATACACTAATTCTCGGCCACTGACTCAGTTTTCTATTTTAATAAAACACTTTTTGCAAAACACAACACACAAAATTCTAACAGGAATTAATATTATGGCAAAAGTGTTTGCAAATGTTTGCTTTTGAGATGTGTTTGTGATATTTTGAATGCAGTGCTTCATTTTGCAAGTGATGTGAGGCATTTTGCATTTTGTGTGTGCAATTCTTGGAAAATGTGTGCAAGCAGTTGAAAAAAACCTGTAAGAAAAACTAACTAGATTGAAAAGTTTGAAAGACAAATTTATGCTGGCTTGTCTTAAAGTCTTGTTTAAAAAACGTAAATGGTTTGGTCAGTTAGATGTTCTAGATGTTTGCTGAAGTGTTGCTAGTTGGTTGCTAGGATATTCTGGGTGGTTGCTAGGCTCTTGCTATGCTTATACATCTGTATCTGTAATTTAATTTATGTATACTGTTATAGACATTGAGCTGCAAAAATAATTCCTGAATCCTGTTCCAGTGTTATTGATGTTTCAACTAGTTACACACAAAATCTTTACTTGTCACACAATTTCTGAAACCTGACACCTGTTAATAACAGAAAATCATACATTGTTTTCAAAACTGATCCAGTTTCAGTGCTTTGATATTATTGTATTTCTTTCTAATAATAGGAAATTCAAAAGTTTTTGTTGCTTTTAAACTTGCACTAAACTTGATTATACCATCTAAGTAGCCTATGTCATTTTAATAGAACTGCATGTCTTCTTTAGTGATACAAGCTCAGAAACATTTATAACCTTTTTTATAATCATTTATTAATTTGTATTAAGTTTTTTATATTCTGTATTGACTTGGTGCCATGATGGATATTGAAATGTTATTTGTTTTTCATTTTAAACAGTATAGATGATTACTTAGTTGTGCTCACAAATATTGTATTACCATTGTGTATGTCAGACCATAAATCCCCAAAAACTATGCATGGGGGCTTGCTTTGGTGTTGCCACCCCTCATAGACCCCATGCCACCCTAAAAATTATTTTCTAGATCCGCCCCTGAACTGCACGTTTCTCAGTAGCTTAGACAAAAACTCCATAAAACAGCTTTGAAAGTTATGAGTTGTGAAAATTACGTGATTTATGACCTATATACAGTGATGTGAAAAAGTGTTGGCCCCCTTCCTGATTTCTTATTTTTTTGCATGTTTGTCACACTTTAATGTTTCAAGGGTGACAAATATGCAAAAAAGTTAAAAAACAGGAAGGGGGCCAACACTTTTTCACACCACTGTACAGTGCTTACCATTGTAAAGACTGTTAGTCGCTCACAGCCTCGTTTTCGTCGTTCGGTAACCATAACAACAGAAATGTTTGCTGTGCCAACTATCGGACGATTCATTGACAAAACGTAAGTAGAACTTATACATTTACAAATCACACATATTTCACGAAAATAATTTAGCGTTTTGTGTAGAAAGTTAAGACTGTAAAGCCCCGTTCACACCAAGAACGATAACTATAAAGAGAAATTCAAGAACAGATGAGAATCAAAACAGTTGACATGTATCAGTCTGGAAAGGGTTATAAAGCCATTTCTAACACTTTGGGACTCCAGCGAACCATGGTCAGAGCCATTATCCACAAATTAAGAAAACTTGGAACAATGGTGAACCTTCCCAGGAGTTGCCGGTCAACCAAAATTACTCCAAGAGCGCAACGACGACTCATCCAGGAGTTCTCCAGCTGATGAATGATAAAAAATTGACAGCCAATCAGAATCCATCCTGCTGTAACGAGCTGGAGAATTTAAAGCGGCAGACGCATGTGCGCTTAGAATAAACAGACGATATCGTTCGCTGGTGTGGTCGCTAATATCGTTATCTTTATAGTTATCTTTATAGTTATCGTTCTTGGTGTGAACGGAGCTTTAGTCTAGTCGCTCACAGCCTCGTTTTCGACGTTCGATAACCATAGCAACAGAAATGTTTGCCGCACCAACTATCGGACGATTCATCGACAGAACGTAAGTAGAACTTATATATTTACAAATCACACATATTTCACAAAAATAATTTAGCTTTTTGTGTAGAAAAACTAAGACTGTTAGCCTAGTCGCTCACAGCCTCGTTTTCGACGTTCGGTAACCATAGCAACAGAAATGTTTGCCGTGCCAGCTATCGGACGATTCATCGTAAGTAGAACTCATATATTTACAAATCACATAGCGTTAGCGTTTTGTGTAGAAAACTAAGACTGTTAAGGCCCGTTCACACCAAGCACGATAACTATAAAGATAACGATAAAGATATAGTTCTAAAAATCATTCTCAATATTAAAGAATAGCAGAGTACACACCAACTATAATGATAAAGGCACAGAGAAACAATGTCGTTGGAATCATTTTCAGAACGATTTTTTTCCAGCTGATGAACGATACAAACATTGACAGCCAATCAGAATAAATCCTGCTATCACGAGCTCGAGAATTTAAAGCGGCAGACGAGTGTGTGCTTAGAATAAACAGACGATATTGTTCGCTGGTGTGGACGCTAATATTGTTATCTTTATAGTTATTGTTCTTGATGTGAACGGGGCTTTAGTCTAGTCGCTCACAGCCTCGTTTTCATGTGGTTTGCCACACCAGGGGAAGTCGTGGCCTAATGGTTAGAGTCGGACTCATAACCCAAAGGTTGTGGGTTCGAGTCTCGTACCGGCAGGGATTGTATCTACTATTGTATCTAATTGTGGAGGGAGTGAATCTACAGCACTCTCTCCCACCTTCAATACCATGACTGAGGTGCCCTTGAGCAAG